GGGGGTGGTTTGTTGGCATCGTAGCATCGCTTCAGCAAGAAATTCTGGTCCTCTATGCAAACGCGACGAAATTCGTTGACGGCTGTAATGACATCTTCAGGGGTCTTTCCGCCTGGAATCATCGCCGCCGTGCTGGGGTCATTGACGAGCTGGATGGGCATGTCGAAGAGGTAGAAGGAGCGCGACAACTCACGCGGGGAGGCGAAGTTGAGAATTTGCACAGGCTTGGTTTCACCCGGCGCCGGCGTGTGCCCTGGCACCCACAGCGTGCGTCCTCCCGTGATATAGAGAAAGATGCTGCTGCTCACAGCCATATCCTAGAAAACCAGAGGGAAAAGATCTACCCGTAGCGCATCCATGTTTGAAGTGTAAAAGAAAGACAAGGAGAGACACGTTGGGAACACAACAAGAAGAAAAATTTAAGATGCGATGGCATTTGGGTAAAAAAACAACAACACACAGATGTAAAAGCAAGCAAACACACACACACACATACTCACTGAGTGAGTGAGATATCGCGCAAAATCAGATAAAATGTCACTTCTTATTGATAATCAGCCACAACAGAAACAAAACTCATTCTTTTTGTTTCCCACATCCCGCCCCGTCCCACGCATAGATAATTGCATATATATGCATGAAAACACTTGTGCAGCAGAGATGTCGCTTCCCTAAAAGTTGCGCCAATTCTCGGTCAGGCTATCTTCCGCAAGAAAAGGCCTTCCCTTATTGGGTCTTGCTTCGCATCATAGCGTCAAAAGATACGCATCGTTGAGGTATTTCCTGTTCATTGCATCATAGCCCCCGTACAGAAAAATCATTGGATACGGGTTCGATGCTGTCGGCGGAAGCAGCGTTCCAGTTGGCATCGCTCGCCCACATGGCAGCGAATGCATGGGCGCCGCAGCTGTTTGTACTTGCCTCCACATGAGTGTTTTTAGCGACAACGAAAAGACAGAAAGACTCCGTTGCTCCTTATATGATCCCATAACATACATGTCATCATTGTATCGCAAAGCAATATGCCCCGATCGGGGGATATCCAACAAAGCAACGTTTGGTGAATCGGTTGAGGTACGAAGGCGACGCCAGGTGGATTCCAGTGTGTCAAACTGATACACACTTGGTGATGCACCCCCCAAAGAAGAAACTGTGGCGGCCGCCATACTGTTCCAACGCCCCCCACCCCCACTGCCACCACCAATCTGTGTACCAGAGGACGCACGCATTCCCCCGTACACAATGATGTAACGTCCCTTGTATTCCACGGCCGTATGGTATGCCATTGGGAATAGACTACACAGTGCTTCTCCTTCGTTGTCCTCAACTGCGTCCACAGTCGCTGCTGCCGACGCAGTCAGTCCCTCATCTACAAGTGGCTGCATTCCCTCTCTCTGTTGATTCAGAAAAGACAGACTTGTCTGAGGCGATGCCACAATGGACCAGGTCAACTCTACTCGGTCTACATCGAAGTGTCCCTCAAAGACCTCCGCAAAGAGATGCCTGTTCTCCCCAAAAAGTCTCTTACCACCAATAAGGAAAAGTCGGCCATTCACTTCTGTTACTGTATGACCAGAGCGCGCCTCCACTAATGCACCACGTACCGCCACACGGACCCACATGCCTCTAGTGAGATGGTAAAGCCACACATCATTCAAATGAGAATGCAGGTTGTTGCCGTAGAATAGCAACATGTACCGACCTTGCAACAGCACCATCGCGTGCCCCGAACGGGGCTCTGGAACGGGGAAGTGGTCTTCTTCTCCAGAAGACAAAGATTGAATCACGTTATACTTGAGGCGCACCAATCGCTCAGGCGGTGCTTTAGCGCCGTCAACAACAGTCTCTTCGTCACCACCATCGTCATCGTTATCGTCAAATTCCAAGTATAAAAGAAAGAAAGAGTCAAAAACCTCTTCGTTTTCACCGCATCCCCCGAATAAAAAAATATCGTCCTCCCAACACACACACGTGGCAAAACAGCGGCCCTCTGGGGGTTTTGACGAGAGATCCTCATTGTGCTCTGAGCCATTTGTCTCATATTCAGTAAAATTTACTGAAGTTAGTTTGCACTGTTGCCACTGAAACCGCTTTGTAGTGATTTCTCGGAGAAGTTCGTTCAAACCGTAATACCGCGCCTCATCCAATAATCGTTTGCGTTCAACGGGGGAAAGTTGTAGAAGTCTGCGGTACCCCACACCGCCTGGTGAGGGCGCTGCAGAAGCAACTCCAGCTTCAAGGATTCGTTGCCGCCGCTCACGCAGCAAAAAGAGAAGCTCCCTAAACAGCCATGGGTCACGGTCCACAAAGACACATCCGAATTCATCCTTCTGCACCATAAACCTTCCATCCTCCAAAAGATGAAACACGGTCATGGTGAACTGAAGGAGGGTGTCTCGCTGCACATGAAATCGTGTGCCACCAATATTAAGCTTGATGATTGGTGACAAAGAAGCGGTTGCAAAGAGTTCCGCGCGACGACGCAAAGAGCTTTCGTGTTGCTCTATTCGCTGACGTTTTAACTGAAGTCGAACAGACGTAGCAAGACTTGTGCGCATATACGCCAACGCCGAACGCTTCAGATGACTGTATTGATTGAGCAAGGTCCTGATCATGACGTCAACATTGTCAGTGTCATTATTATCACAGTCACCATGTACGGCCTCCCCATTTTCCCCAGTGATGCTCATATCTTGCACAGTGGGGAAAGCATATTCTTGAGTCTCCAGTTGCTGAGAGTATTCCATCACAAGAGGAAGACCTCCGTCCCCCTCCACCTCCTGGAGTTGAGAGTTCATCCTTTGCGTCCTTAGCCTCCCTTATTTTTATCTCCGGCTATTCCGTACCGCCCTCTGGAAGTTTGAGCTTTGTTTTGTTTTTCCCGAGTGTTTGTTTAGGGTTCAGGCAAAAAATAAATAAATGTGAAACAGGTGAGGGAAGCAAAGTAGACCAATTTGCAAACCTCACAACATGCCAAATGCTTATTCCTTGAAGAAGTACACCGTTTGCCTCTTTTTTTTTTCTTCCCCCTGCGAAAGACACCTAAAAAAGACTAGTGCAGAGGCGGCTCAGACACAATTAACCCGATGAAACTGTCCACACCGTGCCGGTGTAGACGTCACATGTCCTCCCATCCCGCCCTGTCCAACCCTCCTTTTTTTTTCTTCTCCATTTTTTTCTTGACAAGCGTGGGAGTCGATGAAAGGCTATGGTACTCTACCCTCTTCTTCTTCTTCCTCTTCCTCTTCCTCTTCCTCGGCTATACCACGCTGCATCGTTTCCGCCGCCTGCAGTTGTATCTCCAGAATTTTTCCTTGCGCCTCCAGTTGGCGACACTTCAGTTCCTTCTCCTCTTTCGCCACGGCATCCATCTCCTTAAGTCGTGTCTCGCGTTGCATGCGCAGTTGCATCTCGAACTCCATGATGTGCGCAACCGCCTCCCGCCCGCAGCGTTGAAGCAGCTGCAGCGTATCCTTCATTGGAAGCTTCATAAATGTGAGATGGTTAAACTCATAGTAAAGCCCTATGAGAGCATCCAACTGCCGATGATGATAGTTCGCCAATTCCCGATCGTTTTGCACTCCCGTTGAAGTATCCAGGGGGACGGCGGCGGAGACAGCGGAGGCCTGTAAAACTGTTTCACTCCCAAAAGCCTGTCGAAGTTGAGAACCGCCATGAGTCGCGGACGCTTCTGCGTCCTGACGTTCCTCAAACATTGCCCATAATTTCTCGTCCCCCTCTAAAGGGTAGGACTCATGGCCATTCTTTTTTTTTGGTGACCCTTGTCTGGCACGACATCAGTTGCCTCTTCACATTTCTTTTGCATTCGCTGTCGCGCCGCACCTATTCCTTCTGGTGGATACATAAGAATCGGGTTGCGTGCTATCATTGCGTGGAAACGAGGCAGACCCTTCTCACCATAAATGACTTGTCTGAACCGCTCAATTCCGCGAATGTCACGCGGACGCTTTTTCGCCGCCGCTACCGGAACATTGTCTATGTCACCAGCCTGCTGCCTCTGCTCTTGACCAAAGCTGACTGCCCGCATGATTGCTCCACTTCCCTGTGGGTCTATGCTGAAGGGTTCATGAGCCACGTTGTCTCTATGCTTGAACATATTTTTTTAAAATAAATTTGTTCCTGTCCTTTTTTAGCCTTCCCGCCTTTTCACGTCCTCTCTATCACACAGAAGACAGCTGCACTTCCTCGGCTCTCTCCTCTCAAACCTAACCTCAAAGCACCTCTCTTCTTCTTGTCTCTTCGATAGCATGCCAGGAAGAAAGCAACAAAGCAAACATAAAGGCAGACAACCTAAAGTAAAACAGATAAAAGGTGTGCGTGGAGTACGACACGTGCAGAGCGACTTACACAGACATACAGGAGGAGAATAAAAAAAACAAAAGAAAACAAAGCCAGCAGAGACATGCAACCACACCCATACTTTGAAAACGTCTGGCGCCACCACTCATAGTTCAAAGCGCTCAGCTGCTTTTTTACCACCAAATAGGTTGACACGGAGCTGGCGAAAATTGAAGTCATCGCTTGTTGAACGGTCAGCCTTTGCAAAGTGATATGGATCCTCCTCCCAGCGCTCATAACGTCGTGCGTCGTTGTACCCGGCATCATACGCCTCAAGCAGCTCATCCTTTCTTGCAGCCCCTCCTATGTTTGGTGCGAACGCAAGCCACACCTGACGCCAATATGAGAAATGTGTATTGGCAAGAAAACCATGTCGCCCAAAAAAAATGTTGTGACGCGTTTGATGCCTGTTGTAGGGATACCCCGCATAACCGTGAATATAAATATGACGACAGTACTGGTCAAGTTCACTACTAAGCGACATCATTGTTCCACGCATAACGTTATCTGCATCACGAAAAATCATCGGCTTTTCTGTATTTGGGGCTGTAGCTGCCATAATGCATTGCGCCAGATCGTTAACATCTGTCCATTGCGCAATGTGGTGGCCAAAATGGACATTCTCTTTCGTCTGTCTCATGTAACCCGGATCCTTGTTTGAGAAACCAATGGTGAGAGCAAGACGTCCGTTTACAAGATCCACCGCGTTACGAGGAAGGAGCTTGTTAATGCACTCTGTGAGTACCTCTACACGCTTTTCCTCGTCGGTCACCAAAAATCGGTTGTTAACGATAGCGTCACGAACCTTTTCGATATTGACAGCCTTTGACCCGCAGGCAAGAGCCACAGCCGGGATGACGCCTGTACCCGCCCCTAGTAGAAACGAATGCGCCAGAAACTCTGGCTTCTCTTGCTGCAAATAAAGCGCCACACCAAGCGCATATGTGACTAGAAACCCGCAACCGCCAAAGCTCAGCACCGCCTTGGGCGCCGGCTTCCCCACCTCCAGAAGAACAGGCGTCTTGGACCGCACCTTCTTGACCCACTCCTTCGGATCAGTCGGGGGCATTATCCTTGCAACTGATTGCTTCTCTTCCTACCTGATTTTTTGACTGTCCTTCTGTGTGCGTGTATGCACGCGCGTTGAATATAAGCCACCGTTTCCTCTTCCACGGATCGCGAGAACTCACGCATCCAGATTACAACATACATGCAAATACAGAAAGGCAGCAAAAAAAAAAGCATATATTATATTCACGAGCGACGATGCCAAAAGTATAAATTACAAGGCACGGAAAGCAAAAATTGTGCAATTCCATAAACGCATATTATATATATTAGAAGAGTACCGTCTGTGTGTGTGTGTGTGGGTTGGGGGGCGGAGGGAGGGGAAAGAAGTGAAGACGAGGACGAGGTGGAACACATACAGACATGCGCCCCAGATATGTACGTCATCCATCTACTTTTGTACTTCCAACCACACGTTTTTTTTTTTTGCTCTTCGTTCTTCTCTCGTTTTTCCACCACCACCACTTTTCGCTTTAAAAAAAACAAATCCTTGTGTTGATGCTATGGCTCAAAGGAGGCCGCCTTGGATCGCGTCTCCCGCACCTTTACTCGACTGGGTACTGTCGGTTTCACATGCTTCTGTGCGACAACAGGATTCTCTTCTTCATCATCCAAACCGATGCTTGGCCCCATCACTAGTGAACTGCTAATATACGACGTGGTGATATTCGCACTCCTGATGGCATCCGCCACCTTGCGGTCCCGCACCACAGCGCGCACGTAGGAATTGCAAGCCTTCCGAGGGTCCACCAAGGCGTCAGGGCACATGATTGGCGCTGACATAACAGCGGAGACAATTCTGTCTGGCTCCCTCAGTGGATAATGCTGTGCCTCCGACGTGTTCTTCGCCAAAGCGGTCTCCTTGTCGTTGCTGTCGGGCGGCATTCCAGTGGAAGAAGCCTTGTCAACATAGTTCCCAAACATATCCATCATACGCCCCTCCTCATCAAACATGTAGTGTTGACCCAGCCCCACCAAGAGGCGCTCACGTCGCCGCTGTTCCCTCTTCGCCAACCATGATGCATGCGGCATCAAGTAGTTGTAACGAAGTCCAAGTTGTTTCGCCTTCTTCGACGCCTTCCTGACAACAAGTTTCTCCGCAATAAGGTCTATGGGGTGTGGGCCCTGCTGGTACCACTGCAGCTTCTCGTCCATGAGTTCATGCGGCCGAAACTCCTCTTGGTGCCGCTCCGCTTCCTGTTGTTCCTTAGAAATGGTTAAGTGCAGGAACTGCCGCACCTCCTTTCGTGTCATTCCCTCCACCTTCAGGCCACGCTTCCTCGCCTCCAGCAAGGTTCGCTCGTGTTTGCTTAAGTGTGCCAGTGGATCATCGGAGTGCTTCGCCTTTTGTAGTGCACGCTCTTTTCGCTTTTCATCCTCCGCACGCTGCTTTGCAAGTCGCGTCGCCTTCTTCTCGGCGGGGGATGCAAACAGGTACGAGAAACTACACCCATCTCCACGACTGCTCGACTCAGCCACCTCTAAGTCCGCCGACTTTGGGAGAACGACACCTCCACCCTTGCGTATCTCCTTCATGTTGACGCCCGACATGAAGCTTGACCACTCGCGACGCCATGCATTCTCGCCCTTCTCCACCGTCGCCGCGTAACGACGTTTCGTCGCCGACAGAGGCGCATCTGTTTTCAGCATCTTTTTTTTTTTCTTTACAGCAAGACGCTGTCCCCTAAATAACGTGGGGTTGAACGCCCCCAAGCAGAATTCTCGCTTCACCCGACCACCTCCTCCCTCAATAGAGAAGCTTTACCGGATCCCCTCCCTTGCGTATCCCGGTCACTTCAGACCCACCACCACGAAGAGACTACAATCCCCCGAAAATAAAATAAAATGTGAGCATCATACAGCCACGAAGTAAAACACCAAGTCATGCATGCATACAGACACAAAAACAGGAGGCAAATAATAAACAAAAACGAAACCATTAAAGAAAGAAGAAACGTACAAGCTCATATAAAAATAACAATCAACTACAACCACAAGAAAAAAAGCCATTTACTGTGCCCTGACACCGAGACTGCCGCGCACTAAACCAAACCAGGCACACCGTTCGTCCCCCCGCCGACACTCTCTGCAAGGAGTTTCCAAAAACAAGGAATGGGATGCCACACACCGCCCGGACCACGATCACTACCGGTCCATACTCAATGGGCATAGGGAAGCACGCTGTATGTTGCTGTCGCCCTCCACGCTGCTGCGTCGTAGGTCGCAGGCGTGGTGCAAGGCTAACTGGCAGCTGTTTCGTTCCACCCTAAGTGCTCATCACTGGGACGGCTCAAGGCGTTTTCTTGACCGCTTTGTCCGGGTTGCGCCGCGCACCGCAATGAGAGATAGAGCGTGGTCGACGCGTAACCTCTCAGCTGGCGTAGCACTGAACAATGTCAGCGATGGCACGGCTGTTGCATGTAGACGAGGAAAGAATAGAGGCAAAGGGATATGCACCCGCATATGCCGTCGCCTCCATTACGACACGCACCGTTGCCAATGCTTCTTGCCGTCGCAGTGGCCACGACGGGCGCTTCTCTTTCAACATGGCGAAGCGCGAAACAGTGCGCTTAACGCCTTGCGACGGCTGACCCCGAATCATTTCAGCGTGCTCGCTGCGGCAGGGGATATGTGGCCATGTCTTTACTGAACTGGCACACGCACACACACGCCCCGCTGTAAATATCCAATGACGAGGCGGAGGATAAATAGCGGTGGGGTATTTGGCTCGCGCACCAGTGCCCACAAGACTTTAATGCTCCCACTGCCGAAGGCGATTTTCTGAGCGGAGCAAGTCTCGCCATGCATTTCCGAGCGTCGCGTGGGCACTCACTTCCAGAAGAAAAAAAGACATAATGAACTGATGAGGAAGAAGTGTGTGGGATCGTCGGCCCGCCTGCTAGTGTGTGCGGCACTCCGGCGCTTCAGAGTCCAGTTTGGACTGGATGCGCTGAATCAGACAGAGCAGATCGCGAGGGGGGGGGGGGGGGGGGGGGCAGCCGGACCTATTTCTTTGCGAGCGCTTTCAGCTTCCTCAACCAATAAAGCCTGTGCCGAACGCAGCCCGCGATGAAGCTTTCGACGCAGCGAGCGCTGACGAGGATTAGGGCCCCACATTCTCCGCCAGTTTCCCATTATTTTATGGGCCCTATTTTTAACTCTAGCTTTGATTGCATCCACCACGCGCATTTAAGCCGACGAGAATGAGTGCCTGCAGAGGAATTGCGTCACCTCGAAGTCGGCGACCTGGGCAGTGCGCACGGGCCTGTCAGCAGAGCAGCGCGGCGAAGCAGATGACGGGACGGCAGCTTGTATGGACCTGCCCAGGCGCGCCTTGCCCCGGGCTGGAATGGAGAAAGCCGTGTATGTGTGTATGCGTATGTCTACGTCTTTACAGTGTGAAAGATGTAGCAAAGTAAAGACACAGAGAGGACAAATATTATATTATATATATCATATATATATCATATATATAATATATAATATATATATCACAAACAAAACAACCGTGGTTGGACGGCACCCGCGTCACATCCGGGAAGACTGTCTGAATGCATCGTTATAAACAGCATGTAAACACCCGTATATACATACATCGCAAGACACGGGCGTTTTTTTTATCCATTTGCTTGGCTGACCCAAAACAAATAATAATCAATGAAACTGCCTCTTCAATTGGAGTTATCAACCATTTTCAATACCACCAATACAAATCAGACACTCCACTTATACCCACGCTTACAAATGCACATCTCAAAAACCTCAAAACAATGTTGTAGGAAGGATGCTAGACTCCAACACCCACCCCCTCCCCCTCTCTCCATCGCAATACCGTCCACACACTCTTTGGTTCTGGTTTTGCTTCAGAAACACAGTAAAACATCAAAAAACAAAAAAAAACAAAAACAAAAACAAAACGGAAATAATACAAAAAAAAGTGGAAAGACCTTTTTTAGTTAGACGTAGCTGCAGGCAAGTCCGGCTTTCCGACTTAGCAACAGTTGGGAGTATAACAATGACAACAACAACAACATCTGTTTCCATAGAGCCATGTTATATATA